CCTCGTTTCACGAGGAGTAACGGTAGTTCGGAATAGGAACCTAGTCCGAACTACCTAGTTCGAGCCCCGTGTAGCCGCGCTGCACGGGGTTCGAAGCAGAGGGGATTTAAAAAAGGCGGCTCCCCGCTTATGCTAATGAAGCCCGGGAAATTCAAATCCCGGGCTTCATTAGCAAGTGCGGTATGCATACATTACCCCGCTAGTTCGAACTAGCGGGGTAGTGTAGACATACCCTCTGAGAACATTGCTCAGATGTGACCTGTCTGCCTCTTCATCAGTGGGGCTGAGCCAAATGAGAGCAGCACTATGGTCCCATGTGCCAGGTTGCAACACCTGGAGCAGGGATCTGGACCCAGACCTGCAGGACTACAGCTGCAGGGGTTGCAGGGTGCATTTTTCATTTTACGCCATTTTCTGTGTTCTGTACTTTGTGTTATTTTGCTTTTGTGATTAACGTGTTGCTTTACTCATGCGCCTTCCTCACAGAGGCATGTTCAGTCCCAGGACTGAGCCTGAGCGGCACTTCCCCTTCCAGTTTTATTTGTTGTGCTCTCAAGGCTGCCCCTGTTGGCATCCTGTCAGCTTGGAGAAGGCATATGCAGCCTGACTGGAACACAGAGTGGTGAGAAACAGGGTGGCGATGGTAAGGTGGTAGGAAAGGTGTGGTGCTGTAGAGCAGAAGCTTGAGGGCATGGGAGTATAAGGGAGAAGGGAGTTAGAAGCAGGACCAGGGCTGGAGCTTCATGTCATCCCTACTTCATTCAGTGTGCAGGATGCACAATATTTGGGAAGTGAATCTGGGGCTGTGCAATAAAAGATGCTGATGTCTCTAAGTTCTCTGTTTCATTTGTTGCAGAAGTTGGAAGGTGTGTGGTGAATGAGACAGTGATCATGGACTTAAATTCTGTATCATAATAAATATGCACAAGGGGCTGGATTAAAATTGCACAAGCATTTCCTAACCTTTGGCTCCTTGACTTTGCACAGTTAATGTTCTTTCACAGAGGGTATGTCTACATTGCACCGTAACTCAAAATAAGATACGCAATTTGAGCTACGCAAAATGCCTATCTTTTTTCTATGCTATTTCGAAATAGCTTATTTCGTCCTTTGGCACTATCTACACAGTGCCAGATTCTGAAATAAAGTGCTGTTCCAAAACATCCCTTACTCCTTGTAGAATGAGGTTCATAGGGACATCAGAATAGTGAGTCTAAAATAACAGGCTTGCTGTGAAGACATGGATAGCTATTTTGAGATACTCCGGTATCCCAAAATAGTGTTGCAGTGTAGATGTAGCTACGGCTTTTTGAAAGAGTAATTCTATATTTCTTGAGTTTTTGTGGAATTTTCTGTACACTTGGATTGTATTGCTTCGGTGCAATCTCAATAGAATAAGCATAGCAGGCCTGCGGTAAAGTTGAACTATCCTCTTTTCTAAAATGGTGGCAATGAAATTCTCTAGTTACCTGAGCCTATTACATTCATTATTTGGATAAAACTCCCATTGCTCTCAACTCAAGTGGAGTTGTATGAGAGTAAAGAGTGCAGGATACTGTCTCTTCTGGTAAAAGTAATGTTGAGGAATTTGGAACAAAACAAAGGAAATTGAAGGGCAGAAGCAATAATCACATAGAATGGAAGAGAACCTGTATTAGTTTAATTTATTTAACATAAAATCTAAATCCTTAACACGCTCTTTTTTTTCATATGTGCAGCATAAATACGGAAGAGCATATGTAATTTGAAATAAGGCAGGTATTACCATATATAGTGTATAAGGATAATCAGTTTTAAGAAAATTTAGATTCAATTCTTAATTAATATAATTGATTTTTAATATTATTGAAAGCCTTCCGAATTAAACACAATCAACAATCATAAAGTATGTGTTTGAACCTGTTATTTTTTTAAGCCTACTATGGGTATGAATCCTGAAAAAGTAAAGTCAATGAGAATATTTGTGAATCCAGTTTGACCTTTACCATTTATTTAATAAATTTGCTTTAAAGAAATCTTTAGATGCTGATAAAAGGTACACTAAATTCTAACAAGAATACATGATGGAAAGAGTTAAAAAACTAGAACATTTGGGAATGTGAAGCATTGAATTATCTGACTGAAACCAGCAGGGGTTGCTGTCACTATTTTGTGGTTGTCACTTTCCTGCTATCTTGACAGTGTAGCCTGGATCTGATTAAGGGAATTTCATGTTTTTCCTTTGCTAGAGTCACCCCCCACCTCGACAAACATTTTAAAATGTTAAGGAAAAAAATGTTTGGAAAGCAAACATTTTCCCAAAAGAAATTTATAGTTCAAATTTACACCAAGTTCACACTCACTGGAGCAGTCCAGGTTTCCACTGAGGCTTTGAATAACAGTGTAGCCTGGATCTGATTAAGGGAATTTCATGTTTTTCCTTTGCTAGAGTCACCCCCCACCTCGACAAACATTTTAAAATGTTAAGGAAAAAAATGTTTGGAAAGCAAACATTTTCCCAAAAGAAATTTATAGTTCAAATTTACACCAAGTTCACACTCACTGGAGCAGTCCAGGTTTCCACTGAGGCTTTGAATATTCTCTGTAAACCATTATTCACTCCCCTGGAACAGGCAGCTTTTTATAGGCAGTGGGATAAAATAGGTACAGATGTGTGGGTAATAGTAGAGGTTTTTGAATGTACCTGTACTTAAAAAAGAATAGAAAATTGGAAGAGAAAAGGAATAAATACAGAGATGGGTAAAATAGATTTTTTTCAACTAAATATAACGATGGTGAATTTAACTAAAGGAAAATATTAATATTTTTTGATGCACAGACTTTTGTTTTCATCTAGCAGATTTTGGGGATCACGCCAAGCAGTGTGCTTAATGAAAGTATGAGCTGTAGTTTGTAACTGGCTGTCTTTTTTATTCTGCAGGACTGTGATTATGCCAATTGCGAATGAGTTTGATCCAGACATTGTCCTAGTATCAGCTGGATTTGATGCTGTGGAAGGCCACGATGCTCCATTAGGCGGGTACAAAGTCACAGCTAAATGTATGTATAGTTGGAAAGTGGTTATTTTCTCTGGTCTGCTAATTTCTTCTGGAAGGGCCTTTATTTTAGGAACAAATTTTGCCCTCATTTATATGCATATAACTCTATCTAATTGTCCAGGTGCAACAGATAGAAGAATTTGGCCCTGAGTTAATATACATCTGGAGCCATACTGGAACCACTTGAATATAATATGAATACAATTGTTTTTTAGTTTTTCTAGCTCATTCCTTTCTGCAGAGCCTCTTGGCATGTTTTTGTCTAGGTTTGAAAGCTTTATTTTGCTGGCATTCAAATAACATTTTGGAGATTTCCCACTCTTTTTCAACTGGCCCAACTTCCAAATGCAGCAATAAATTAGTTATTTTTAAACTCTGTTGAATATGTTAAATTTAGAGGCTTTATTCTGATCTCCCAATGTTTTTATAGCACTATAAGCCACTGACTTCAAATGAATCACTCCTGATTTACACCGTTGTTCATGAAGGCCAAGATTTTTCTAAAGAAACCAGTGAATTTTGGTGCTTCAGTTTCTGTATACTCAACTTAAGCCCCCAAAGGAGCCTGATTTTTAGGTGGGTGCTTAGTTGTTTCCAAATATTAGGTTTCTTTCTGGTGTCTCCAATTTGGCACTGCAAAATTACTAACCACTATTGAAAATCTTGGCCAAAATTTGTTTCATGCCAAGGGGCTAGATTTGTAAAGGTATTTAGGTGCCAAGAAGCAGATGAACATTTAGTGGAAATTTCAAAAGAGACCAGGTGAAATAAATAAGAATTATATAAATAGGTGATTTTGCACATTCCAGTAGGTGCCTACAGGCACCCAAACACCTTTACAAGTCTGGCCCAATCACGACACGTAGAGCAATGTGCAGTGCAGCATGGCTGTGTATAAGACACTGTTGACAATCCTTGCTGGAATGGAACAAAATAGAATTGTTTTCTAATCTAGAGCCTTATTTAGTGTAATTTAAACACACACCACAGTAGTCAATGGAAGTTGTGTGATGGTGTGCAAGAGAGGGAGCACTGTGCACAATGAGCCCTTGCACACCAATCGGGGGTATTAATCTGCCTTGAGACAAGAATGTGGCTATGGTGGTGAGCTGGCTAGTCACAGAAACTCAGCAGCCACCCCCTTTAAGGTTGGTACATTCTTTGTATGGTGACATGCATGCAGCGTGCAAATAAACAGATACCTTTAATTCTATCTCAATTTCTTCCTTGACAAAGGTCCCATGCAAATTTATCTGTGCTGCACAATGCATTATCTTTTACAAACAAAGGTAGTGGATAGAGTTGCGAGTGCATGAACTCAACACTTCTAGTATGGCAGAGAAGAGAGCTTCACAATGACACTGAAATTGTGGGTTCGTGGGTTCCATACTTTCATATTCCATACTTTTGTGGACGTCACAGCCTGGAATCCTTGCACAGGCTGAGTGTGAGAGGAGTGTCCTATTCACCTGCCCAACCTTTCTCTGTACCCGACTCACATTTGCTGCCCTTGGTCAGGGCAGACCAGAGCTCAGAGGTGATTTTCAGAGCTCACTTCCCACCGTTGGGGGAGGGGGGAATAGGAGGTGTCTCACCCACTCTGTTGGGTACTCACTGCTGCTCCCATCAGCTGCCTTCCTGTCACTCCTGCCAGCTTGCTGCCTGCTCCTGCCAGCCACCCTGCTGGCTGCTCTCACCAACGAATCTGGCTCTGGGGCAAACCTAGTGATTTCAGTTTTTTGTGATGTCAGTTTCTCAGTGATTTCAGCTCTTGGCCCACCACAAAGGCTGGCCAAAAGATTACAGCTTCTGCTGGAATAATACCTTAAAATAATAAAGATACCCCTTATGGAGTCTGGTTTAGTTCTATCCTTGTCGGGGGGAGGAGGGAGGCAGGCGGGGAGAAAGACAGGTTGACCCAGTCTTACAGCTCACATCTGGAGCCCCCCCCCCCCCAATCCAATCGAGTCTGGAAAGAGAAAGGCTTGTCTATCAGGGTATGTCTACTCTACAAAGTTAATTTGAACTAACAGACATTAGTTTGAATTAACTTTGATAGGCGCTACACATGCAAACCGCTAGTTCGAACTTAATTTGAACTAGCGGTGCGCTTAATTCGAACTAGGTAAACCTCATTCTACGAGGACTAACGCCTAGTTCGAATTAACTAGTTCGAATTAAGGGCT